AAATGAAATAAGTGCTTCTTTTAATATGCAACTAATGGCCCCCTTTTGCTTTGACCACAACACTACAGGAAACCAGAGTGTGCTCTTCATTTAGCCTGGTTGTCACAATAAAGGCCTATGAAAAATTTATCAAATAAAACACGAAAGGATACACACCCACATTCACATACACACATATGTTTTTTTATATTGCGTCTTGACAATGACCCCCGGGGGAGATGATGATGTGTGACAGCTGCTGCCTGTTCATATTGATTAAATGACAGCCAGGATCATTTACCATTTTACCGACTGATGGGGCTCAAACGTGCGACGCAGCCCTTAGGGAGGGCTCAGGATTGTTAGCCGCGACAGCCTGCAGTTTATGTTCACAGCCGCCTCTTTAAAGTGATCATCTTCTCTAACACTGTTCATTTCTGATGCTAAGACAAGCAACACAAAAATGTGTATACAAGCGGCAACAGCAGATTAAATCATCATGACAAATATCAGTGACAAGGAATAAAAACTTGATTTAAAGTAGTATTTACCAAATGAATGAGAAATCAATGTTTTTGTATTTTAGGCCATCGTTCCTGGTGGTTATTACAGTTGATTTTACTCCATCTCAGATTATTTGAGATTAACTTTGTGAGTAAAAGTGTTTTGTATGGATGGGAATGATGGCTAAAACTACCAAGTAAGAAAACAAAAACAGCAAAATATGAAATAGGAACAGTAAACCTGTTTAAAACAACAGTTTACAGTAACCTACACAGAGTAGTAGTAAACTTAACAAAATATAAATATATACACATATAACAGACCACAGCAGAAAAAATTGATCGGAATAGTTAATAATAGTGCCAAATGGAGCCGATAAAGAATATTAGAACAGAACCAAACAAAAGAGGTCAAAATATGACAAAACTCTTTGAGCAAAATAAAACCGACAAATTTATTAGGACATAAAAACTTATAAATATGAGGGAACGGGAGAGGCCGGGACATAAAATGGACTGAAAATTGCAACAAAAATAGAGGCAGATGTGCTAATGATACCTACTCTTTTATCCAATGAATTTCACACAGAAATTGTGTTGAAAATGTCTTAACAAAGAACTGTTAAGAGTGTGAGAAGCTCCACATATTAAAACCCGCTCTTGCAAACGCTTTGAATCATTTGAATAAGGTGAAGAGAAGGTTAATGTGGAAGAGGAAATTTGATTTGGAGCTTTTAAGCACACCGTAGTGGCTCGCTGGGTCTCAGCTCCTTGTTGATGGAGGGAAACTTTTATAAAAGATTCTACAAGCAGCCTTCATTTTGAAAACACAATTTATTATTTGCAAGTAAATCAGCTTGTACAGTATCAGTGCAAACATACAGTATAGGGGCAGATGTATATGTACAAGACAGATCCGGGCAGGACAAGACAAGAGTGGACTGGACTCAGGACATGGCGGAAAAAGAAGAAGCTGGACAAGTCAAGACATGACTTTACAGAACAGGACAAAACAGTGTATTATATAATGGAACAAGACAGTACAGGATATGTCAGGACAGCGCAGGACAAGATAAAACTGGACAAGACAGGGCGGGACAGTATATAGGCCTACAATAGATCAAGACAGGACATAATACAGCAAAGCATTACAGGACAGGGGAGGGCTGGTTAGGATGGGACTGGTCAGCAAAGGACAGAATGGGACAAGGCAGAGCAGGGCAGGACAACCGAGGACTGGACTAGGCAGGACAGGACAGGATATAGGGTAAGATGTTGTAGGATAAGACAGAACAGGGCATTGCAGGATAGGACAAGACAGGACAAAATTGGGTTATAGGACGGGGCAGGAATGGACATAACAGGATATTATCGGAGAGGAAAGGGCAGGATGTGTTAAGACAAGACAGGACGGCACATTGCTGGACAGCAGAGGGAAGGATAGGACAGGAAAATACAGTCCAGGCCTAAACAGGACAGAACACAATGCTCTCTCCTTTTCATCTTTTAGTATTATGTTCCTATGTTTGTGGTGAGTCAACAGCACTGGCAGCACTGGGACAGACGGGACATTTGGCAACATTTACCGCAGCCAACTGTCCCAGTACTGAGAGTTTTGGCTTGGTCTGTATACGTAGAGTGTGTGGCCTTGGGAACGAGCCAGGTGAGGCTGTTGAGCACAGATTAAAGCAGAGATGGATCAATCACTTCAGTCTCTGGGCTGGTGAGTGACAGCTAGCCTGGGGACACAAACACGGACACTATTGATTTTGAGTCGCCTTCCATCAGATCGCTCTGAATTGCTCTTCTCAAGGCTCACACACACAGTCAAACATTTACAATTGCATATACACAGACACACAATGATGATAGACCTTGTTTCTTTAAGTCTGTCTCACACACACTCATTACTTGTCAGGACTCTTGCTGTGTGTGAATCTCAGTTAGCAGGAATGAACCCTCTGGCTATGTTTTCTAGCAGGCCTACAGGATATTTAGCAGCATGGAGGGAGGTCTCTATGGCACTTAAAGGAAGCTATTAGCCATAAAATGTCATACATTAAGTTGTGAAGAAGTGCTGCTTGAAAAAGTTCAAAGTTATCGGTTCAAGTCAAGACGACCTGAAAATGCTCTCATCAACGTCACGTTGATCTGTGACATAAAGCTCAAATTGATCTTGGGGCAGCGTGTTTTCCTAAAATTATCTTGTAAATTTCCATTTCAGAATTCCTTTTTAAAAATATTCTCAGTGTTCGGGAGTCTTCCGGATAATAACAGTAAATTAGGTTTATATCTTGGTCTGTGTTTGAACTTGAACAAAACCATTGTTATGGCGGGCAACTCTACAAGCTACAATACCCATTAGCCTTGGATGTGGTTGCTATGGAGATGAAGCCAGTCAAAGGTGCAAACCAGATTTGTAGTAAATTCAAAACACTATACTTGCCGAATTCATCCAAAATGAGAGTGTAGAGAATGACAAAGACCCCTAGCGGCTTGAAAGATATTACGACTGTTGTCCAGCAGTAGTGTAACGAAAAAGGTGGTCAAGGACAGTGACAGTGAATGTTGATGTAATTTACCGCGATCTCTCCCCACTCTTAGCCAAGTTACTGTTTTAACCATGACTGCAAAGGGCCTCTAACTTTAACAAAGTGTTATTCAACCAAAAAAACAACGATTCTCCAACCCCAAACATTTTTTTGGGACTAAACCTAACCAAAACTGGTGTCGGATCAGAAAACACTTACTGGAGGGAAATTACAAACAACATAGTATGCTATTCAATAGGAGGATTTGTTCAAAACTGATCCAGAATCTGAAGGTAAACAGATTTAAACTTATTTTTTAGTTCCAGCTCTATTAGCAGTGAACGCACCAGTATTTTAAGTTATGTGATTGGAAGTTTCTTACCAAATACCTTTTGATTATTTATCAAAGAAACAGATATTTTCTAACACTTTATCTTTTTTGTAGTCATGAACCCAGACTTTTTTCTGTTCTTCCAAGCTTTCTAAGTGCTCCGACTGCAGGTCGTCTAACATTGTCTATGCAGAAAACAAACAGGACTTTTACTTCCGGATCCCCAGACGCCCAAAAGAACTTTTCCCACATTGCAACTCTATTGTACGCTAACAGCCAAAAGGACACAATGTGCTTTGAATAAAAGTTTTATATATACTGTTGGAAGAGAGGGAAACTGTAAAAAAAAAAATAATCTAGAAACAAACAAACAAAACAGCCTCAGTGTGGCTGTGGATGATGGGAGGGGAAGTCTGTATTGGGAGCAGTGGCCTAATAAGGCTAAATACCAGACTGTGAATAATCTCCCAGTAAACTGTCTACTCATGAAAAACACAGAGATGCAAAAGCAGCAACTCTCGCTTTCTGCCTGGCTGCCCTCCCTCTGCCTCCCCCCTCTCTCTCTCTCTCTTTACCAGTGTGTGTGTGTGTATGTGTCTCTCTCTCCCTGTCCACACCGTTCTCTGTCCCTCTCTTCTTTCTTTACTTTCTTGCTCCTGCTCTCCTCCTCCTCCTCCT